GGCTGGAGGGGGGGGGGGGGAAATAATGCTCTTTGCTCTTCTTGACGGGCGGGAAACGTGATCGACGGCGGTCTTATCGAGGAGGGCATCCCGGATTTCAGCCGGCATTTCCACGGAACGGAAAAGGTTCTCTCCTCGCAGTAGGGGTGAGCTAGGGGGGCTGGAGAAGGTCTTCTCACAACTCCACAAGTCTTTTTTTTTCTTTTTCAAGGATTCAGTCGCTTTTACTGTCGTCGCTGTCAGAGTAAGCCCCCAGAAGGCCTAGGGAAGTGATCCCTGTGTTTGAACTGGGCAGGGTCGCCGTAGAAGCGCCGAGACGGTGCTGCTCTCCGCCTCCTAGACAAAGAGGTGACAATTCAACAGTTCAAAAGACACAAAGGAACTTCTCCGATCCTTCCCAACTCAAGACTTCTCAGAGCCTGGACTATCGAGCCCATATGCCTTAACCCTTCGGAAAGACAGCAGCTCAGTCCCTTCCCACTTGGGCATGGCAGACGGTAGAGAGAGAGACGGCCATTTGTCTCCTTAACAGGAGTTTTTGGGATTACAATTCCAACCAAGCCCCTTAAACACTAACCCCCAATACATGTGGTGCTTGACTTATGAGGGTAAGTTTCGGTGGTGGTAAAGCAGATCGCCCCACTAACTGACCCAATTTAGCTACAAGTCGTCCTTGACTTAAAATGGTTCGCTTAACGACCTTTCAAAGTTGATGACTTTTTCTTGCGGCAGTCATATAAATCAACCCATCGTTCTCCATGGGGCATTTTGCCACAAAAAGACACACAATAAATGCCGGTTGTCAGGTGACCGCAGGTTGCCAACTGCCCTAAATGCAGTCACATGACTGTGGGGGTGGGGGCAGACATTGGGACTTTGGAACTGAGTCGTAAGTCCCTTTTCTTTGGGGGGAAGGGGTCCATCTTAACTTTGAAAGATCGTTAAGCTCACGGTTTTAAATTGAGGACTACTTGTAACTAAATTCTAATCAAGTTAGCCAGAGGTTTTGTGAGGGGAAGTGGCCACATTGATGACACCTGAAGGAAATATCCCTCTGTTGTTGCTCTCCAAAGTTTTACAAGCATCCTATCTGATTCATCTATTTAACTATCCATCCATCTACCTAGCTAGCTAGCTATCCATCTATCAATCCACCTATTTATCTATTTACCTATCTATATCTATCTATATCTATATCTATATCATCAATCATCTATCCATCCCATCTGTTATCTACTCTCTATCATCTAACCATCTATCTTACTAACTATCATCTAATATCAATCATCTATCCTTTTATCAATCATCTATCCTTGTATCTACTGTATCATCTATCCATCTATTTATTATCAATCTATCATCTATTTACCATCTATCAATCTTTAATCTAACATCTATCTACATCGATTTATCTATTCTATTTACTATCTCTCTTTTTTCATTTTCATTTTTATTATTACTGTATTTATCTATCTATCTATCTATCTATCTATCTATCTATCTATCTATCTATCTATCTATCTATCTATCTATCATCTATCTATCTATCTATCTAATCTATCTATCTATCTATCTATCTATCTATCTATCTACTTATCTATCTATCATCTATCTATCTATCTATCTATCTATCTATCATCTATCTATCTATCCATCCATCCATCCATCCATCCATCCATCTATCTATCTATCTATCTATCTAATCTATCTATCTTTTCATTTTTATTATTACTCTATGTATCTATCCATCCATCCATCTATCCATCCGTCAGTCATGCTGGCTGAGGAATTCTGGGAGTTGAAGTCCACCCATCTTAAAAGTTGCCAAGGGTGAGAAACACTGGTCTACGACCTGATTCTCACCTTTGAAGCATTCTGCTCAGTGGTGGGATTCAACCGGTGTTACTACTGGCTTGGTGACTACATTTTGCACGTGCATCCAAAAACCTTAAGCTGTGCCACCCGGACAGCTGAAAAGCGCTGCATGCGGGCGCGCAGCGTTTGAAAAGCCTCTTTTCCCCTGCTTTTTCAACCTCAGCTGTACCACGCAAAGCAGCTGAGGTTGAAAAAAGCAGGTAATAAACGACAGGTGAGAGCCCAGGAGGGCGGGTGGGCCAAACAGCAGCAGACACAGAACCGATTCGGTATCTGCTGCTCTTCAGAGCTACCGGTTCTATAGAGTTGTGCGGAACCAGTAGCATCCCACCCCTGATTCTGCATCCTCTTTCATTTCAGAAATATTTCCAGGCTAAAAATTCAACAGAGGCAGAGATGCCAATAGAGGCAACTATGGCCTCGATCACAGATCATTTGGAGCACAGAAAAATGGAAAACGGACTCTGGACCCCGGCTTAAATGCCTGGTGGATTACAAGGCACGTCCACATTGTCCTGTTGGCAATAATCAAACCTATTAAGTTCAGGAATATCCTGGTACTTTTTCCTCTGATCCCAGTTAGCTTACAGATTTAGACTAAGCAGCTGCGTGCTGCCCTCTGTTGGAACTAGAGCAGTTCACACCACACAGGAAGTCCTCCACTTACAAGGGTTCACTTAGTGAAGTTAAGGCAGCCCAGAAAAAAGTGGCTTACGACCAGTCCTTATCCTTACAACTGTTGCTGCGAGAGCTGATTGTCAAAACCAGGATATATAAACAAAGAGCAAACTCGGCACTTTTTTCTAGCACTTGATGCTGTTACCTAGTTGGGTCATGAAAGGTCTGCAACGGAAGCACCAAGCTCCGACAGCATCATCAGCTATCAGGTGTGTGTACCTGTGTCCGTGTGCGCGTGGGTGAGCGTATGTGGATCAATTGGGCAGCTAGGCAGAGTCCTTTGACTCACAACCACACCTGAGCCCTAAAACGTCTGCTGTTGCTGAGCGAGATACCTGTTAACTTAATTCTGCCCCATTTTAAGACCCTTCCTCGCCACGGCCGTTGAGTGAGTCCTTGCAGTTGTACAGTTAGTAGCACGGTTCTTAAGTGAGCCCGGCTGCCCCCTTTGCTTGTCGGAAGGTCGCCAAAGGGGTGTCAGGATTCCGGCAGTTTACCCCCCATTAAATCATGAGTCTCGAGACAAACTTCCAAAACTACACAGGATTTATTGGGAGTTGACATGTCGGCATGACCCTGGGTGCAGCCGACTCTGAGACACGTAATTCACTGTCACCCTTGACCCTGTTTCCCCCCCCACACCCCTGAGTGCATCGTAATTCATATTCTCCAACAAAACATGTCCACAGCCAAGAGTCATCAATCATGGTCTCCAATTAGAAACTTCAGTCACCTAATTATAATCTCTGAATAACTACGCATGGAATGCACTTTCGATTTCCAAGCTGCCGCAGTGCTCTTTCAAAGCCTTTCCTCCCCTCCCTTTCTGTTGGCAACTTTAAAAACACCCTAGGGACATTTTATGAGTGGACAAGGGGATCGTATGAAACCCGGGACCGTTGTAAATGGGAGACGGTCGCCAAGCGACCGAATTTTGATCGCGTGACTGCGGGGATGCTGCAAATGTGAAAAATGGCGGTGTCGCCTTTTTTCCAGTGCTGTCGTAACTTCGAACAGTTACTAACGGTTGTAAGCGGAGGACTTCCTGCAATCAATGTGAATGAATAAAATCCTGCAATAAAAGTACAATAAATAAAGCTAGCATGAGTCTCTATCAGGGAACACAAAGGTCGCTATGATGACCCAAAGGGGCGTGGCACAAAGGCAACACAATCAGATAGTAAGTAAGAGTCCCTTTATTATCTCCAACTTTGCCCCCAATGTCCTCATTACCTTCTGGCTGGAGAAAAAGTCTCCCAGGAACAGCCTTTAGCTGCAGGGAATCAAGTCCAAAACATGGTCAACAAAAACTGTAACTATAAGTCCAATCAAGGTAAGATGAGGTAATTAGTCCGGAAGGGCAAGAGCAAGAATTCCAGGCATGAAGGAACAGCAGTAATTCAACACAGTTGGGAAGACGCCAGGAACACAAATAACCAAAGTCAACACAAGATAAACTCATGTTTGTTCCCAGCAGACGCCGCACTCAGCATGCCTCACTTTTAAACTCCCTTCCCAGATGCGGCTAATGAAGGGGATCAGGGCCCTTTCCTCCCCCGTAAGCCATGTTGCTCTCTTGTCTTTTCCTCCCTGCGTGCCCTAGGATGAAGAGGGTCTTCCTCTGAATTCCTCTCCCTTGTTCTACCTCTCTCCTGCTCTGCCCAGCTGGACTTTGTCCTTCCCCAGTTTCCTCCACAGCCAACGGAGCCACACTCCCACTCCCTGTCAGCTATTTGTCTTCCTCCTCGGATTCAGACTCCGACAGGGGCATGACAGGGCATTTGTACCAGACAGAAATTTCTTATGTGTCTAATCACGCATGGCCAAATAAAATACAGATATTCCTCAACTTATAACAGTTCATTTAGTGACCATTCAAAGTTGAAATGGGGTTGAAAAAGTGACTTATGACCGTCTTTGACACTTACGACCGTTGCAGGATCCCAATGGCCGTGATTCGCTTTTTAATGGCGACGACGGCAAGGAAAGTCGTAGAACGTAGCAAAACTCACTTAGCAAATGTTTCACTTAGCAGCAGAAATTTTGGGCTCAGTTGTGATTCTAAATCAAGGGCTACCTGTATTCAACTCAACTCAACTCAACTCAACTCAACTCAACCCAAATCAAACCAACTCAACCCAACCCAACATCACCACTCTTTTTTTAAGTGTTTGCCTTCATCCTGTCTCCCAGAGATTCTTTGTCTCTCTTTCTCTCCTGGAGCTGCCTTGTCCTCCTCACCTGGTTCTGATGTTGCCTCTTGGCTTCCTGATCCATTGGCCATCCCGGGAATGGGCTTCTTCTTGGCGGCCACCAATCCCGACAGTTGTGTCTTCACCGAGAGTTTTCCCACACTCCGTTCCCAGCTTTCCAGCTTTGACTTTTTAGCTTGTGGCTCTGAATCCTGGGAAGAAAGGAAACGAGACACCGACGGTTACTTTAAAAGCCGCTGTGTTCAAAGGACACCATCCCAGCTGCATACAGTGGTCGCGACACCAAACCATGTTGGGCTGTAATTCCTGGTTTGTGTGTAGAAGGTCTCGATGTCCACTGAAACTATCTAAATTTTTCAATTCAATCAATCAGAATAGATCTGGAAAGGATCTTGTAAGTCCTCTAGTCCGGCCCTCTCTACAATCCCTATCCCTATTACCATTCCATCCCATCTTATCCATTCCTGTTCTGTTCTGTTCTATTCTATTCTATTCTGTATTCCATTCTATTCTATTCTATTCTTTCCTTATTCCTTGTTCTGTTCTCTTCTATTCTATTCTACGCTACACTACTCTATTCTACTCTATTATTCTATATTCTCTCCTCTCCTCTCCTCTCCTGTTCTATTCTATTATATTCTATAGTTATTATATTCTCTTCTCCTCTCCTGTTCTATTTTCTATTTTCTATTCTATTTTCTATTCAGTTCTCTGTTCTGTTTTATTCTATTCTATTATCCTATATTCTCCCCTCTCCTCTTCTATTCTCGAGTCTATTCTATTCATTCTATTCTATTCTATTCCTTATTCATTCTATTCTATTCTATTCTGTATTCCATTCTGTTCTATTCTATTCTATTCTCTAATCTATTCTATTCCATTCTATTCCTTATTCATTCCATTCCATATTTTCTATTCTATTCTATTCTATTCTATTCTATTCTATTATCCTATATTCTCTCCTCTCCTGTTCTATTCTATTCTCGAGTCTATTCTATTCATTCTATTCCTCTATTCTATTCTATTCCTTATTCATTCTATTCTATTCTATTTCTTATTCATTCTATTCTATTCTATTCTATTCTATTCTATTCTATTCTGTATTCCATTCCATTCCATTCTATTCTCTATTCTATTCTATTCTATTCTATTCTATTCTATTCTATTCTATTCTATTCTATTCTATTCCATTCCATTCCATTCTATTCCTTATTCATTCCATTCCATATTTTCTATTCTATTCTATTCTATTCTATTCTATTCTATTCTATTCTATTCTATTCTTATTCTCTAAATGAAGGGGGAAATGCACGAGAAAAAAAGTAGAAAAGCAGAAATCCCATTTCTGAGGAAAACAATATCTTTCAATTGGAAAAAAAAAACATTATATTAGAGTTAAAAACATTTCTGAAAATTTGGGCCAATGAAACAATTTCTACAACGATGAACAGTGTAATTAATCTGCACCACTCCGACAGCAGATCTATGTTCCTTCAACAATAATTTGATTTTGAGATCAGAGTGTAATGTGAAAAACAGTCGTCTTTTTCAGTGCTGTGGTAATTTTGGTCATTAAACTGTCTTATCATCTGCACCTCTATAACAGTTTGGTTTGGTTCTGCAACCCAACAGGACAGACACAGAGTTCAGAGGATAATTAGGACTGCAGAAAAAAACAATTACTACCAACCTGCCTTCCATTGAGGACCTGCATACTGCACAAGCCAAAAAGAGGGCTGTGAAAATATTTACAGACTCCTCACATCCTGGACATAAACTGTTTCAACTTCTATCCTAAAAATGATGCTATAGAGCCGTGAACACCAGGACAACTAGACACAAGGACAGTTTTTCCCCTAAACGCCATCACTCTGCTAAACAACTAATTCCCTTAACACTGTCCAACTATTTACAAAGTTTGCACTACTATTACTATTAATATTCTAATCACTCCTTATCACCCATCCCCTCCCACTTGTGACTGTATGACTGTAACTTTGACACTTGTATACTTACGATTTATATGGACTGTTTCCTAGTATGATTTGATTGCTTATTATGCCCTATGGTTATTATTATTAAGTGTTTACCTGATGATTCTTGACTCGACGAATGTATCTCTTATGTACACTGGGAGCATTTGCACCGACAAATTCCTTGTGCGTCCAATCACACTTGGCCAATAAAGAATTCTATCCTATCCTATCCTATCCTATCCTATCCTATGCTATTCTTATTCTAATTCTTATTCTTATTTTCTATTCTATTCTATTCTATTCCATTCCATTCTATTAGTCTATTCTATTCTATTCTATTCTTTACTCTATTCCATTCTATTATTTTCTATATTCTATTATTTTCTATATTCTATTATTTTCTATTCTATTTCTATTATTTTCTATTCTATTTCTATTCTGTTCTTTATTCTATTCCTCTCTCTTCTAATCTTTATCCCATTTATTCTATTCCTATTCCTATTCCTATTCCTATTCTATGCTATGCTATGCTATGCTATGCTATTCTTATTCTATTCTTATTCTGTTCGAATGTTTGTAAGTCAAGGACAACCTACAGAAGGTACATCGGCCTCACTACCCAAGGCAGGAAGAGAGACTCCCGTGAAGAGGGGCAATCCATGACGTCAGCCCACCTGTTGGGGGAGATCCTCAAAGGATTCTCTTCATACCTGTTGCAGGATGTCAGTGGGTTTCCCTTTTGCAAGTGGTTTTGGACGAACTGGAGGGAGATCTTCTTCTGAATCGGAGTCTTCCAGCAGCCTCCGGCTTTGAGCTTGCTCCAGCATGGATCTGGGTGAGACAGAAGACGGGGAAAGAGATAACGTGGGTCGGCTACCGACAGGGAAGAGAGCGTGGGGAGCGAGTTCAACGACAGACTGAATAGTCATCCCATGCTAGGAAACAAAACCCCAATCCAGGAAGTCCCAAAGCTGCTTTTCGTTTCAAGAGGCAATTGGACTTTCTGGTTTCGTTTTTTTCTTTTGAAGACGTTTCGCTTCTCATCTAAGAAGCTTCCTCAGCTCAGACTGGAGGGTGGAAGACAGAAGGATTTATACTCCTTGCAGACAGCTGGTCATTTGCATCCTTTTTAGAGAGTCGTTGAGGCCACCTGTCAAAACTTGAACAGCTCACTCTCAACAAAGGAACAGCTACAGAACAGAAGTTGCCCTCGGAAGTTGTGGGGGCGCCATCACTTGAGACTTTCAAGAAGAGATTGGACTCCCATCTGTCAGAAATGGTGTAGGGTGTCTCCCGCTTGGGCAGGGGGTTGGACTAGATGACCTCCAAGGTCTCTTCCAACTCTGATTATCTGTTCTGTTAAAGGAGGAGGGATGCAACATCATCTATCTCCAGTCTACAACACGGCCCTTTCAGCAGCTCCAAGAAGGCTCCACACCTATTTGCACTACTCAGGTGACCCTGAGGGACACAGACCAAACTCCAAGTGGCCTCAACGACTCTCTGAAAAGAATGCAAATGACCAGCTGTCTGCAAGGAGTATAAATCCTTCCATTCCTCACCATCTAGTCAGAGCTGAAGAAGCTTCTTGGATGAGAAGAGATACGTCTTCGAGAGAAAAAAAAAACAGAAAGTCCAGCTGCCTCTTGAAAAAACACCTTTGGGACAACCATGACCTTGGATGACGGAGAATCTCCATAGACACCCGATCAAGGAACTACCAACTCAGAGAAATAAGCTAAAAGTAAATAACATCCTAGTCAAAAAGCACGCCCACCAACACGGACAGGGCAAGCCACTAGAATGTAAATATACATTGAGAGCAAACCCCAATCTCTACTAGCACTGATGATATTATCTAGTTAGGTCATGAAACGTCCGCTAGAAAGCAACCAAGTCCAAGAGCACCGAGGACCTAAAAAGTTTTATTTTTTTCTTTTCTTTTCTGAGAAAGGGTTCTTCACATAGGTCATCGTGGACCTGTAGAATCCATGGCCACAAAACATGGTGATGGCCCCCAACCTGGTAGCTTCCAAGGACACTGGAGAAATTCATGGATAACACATCTATCAAGGGTTATCAACTGTGAAATCCTCTGTATTCCTTCTGGATTGGGACAGAAGTCCAACAAGCATCGGTTGCTGGTGGATACCGTGTTTCCTTGAAAATAAGACCCTGATATATTTATATATATAATGCGCCACCAAAAAAGACACCAGGTCTTATTTTTGGGAGATGTCATCGACTGACTAACCTCACTTTGCGCACGTCGCCCCCGGCCTCCTTTTCGCGGTCAGAGGCCTTCAGGAACTTCTTCTTCTGCACCAACAAGGCTTTCCTGAAGGCCTCTGCAGCCCATAACAGAGCTCTGGATCGATCCAGAGTTTTGTTATCAGCTCCAGAGGCCTTCAGGAAAGCCTTGCCGGCTGCAGAAGAAATGGGCCGGCAAGACAGGTGTCGGGGTGTGCCAGGCCTGGCTACAACTGTCCGAAGGTAAGTAGTAGGGCAGCTCCATCACCACCCCAATCCCCACCCTAGCTTAATTTTTACCTGTGCACTCTGGAGTGGGCAGGATCTTAATTAGGGCTTATTTTGGGGGGTAGGGCTTATATTGGGTGCACATGTAAAAAATCAAGCTAGGGCTTACTTTCAGGGTAGGTCGTATTTTCAGGGAAAGTAGGGTATTAGTGGGAGATACTCCTAGTGGACATATCAAAGGATCCCAACCAAAAAAAAATGGCAAGAGCAGATCTTGGGACAAGGTTCTCGAGGCTCACTTCATTTCCTGCTCGTCTTCCTCCAATTCCCGTTGTTTCTGCTGTTCCTCCAACTCTTTGTACTGATGCAGCATGGATTCAAAGTCCACGTTGGCCTGGCGTTGGTTGAGTTCTTTCAGCTCCTGCAAGTTTTCCAGAACTTCCATCTCTAGCTTGGAATCCTTGGTTCTGTTCTCCAAAACCTGGGGGGGGAAATAAAAATAAAAACACAGAAATGTGTTAGGACTCGGAGGATAGTTAAGTTAGAACTAATAGTTAGAACCGAGGAAGGTTCTTGGATGACAAGCCAAAGGTTTTCAAAGAGGAAAAACCAAGAAATCCCAGCTGCCTTTTGGAAAAGCAGCTCTGGGATCAGAGAGCAAGGACCAAAAAAAAAACCAAAGTGGGACATTACTTATTTTTGGTATTTATTTTTTCCTTTTCTTCTGGCCTGGCTCTTCCAGAAGGGAGAACGAGACTCAGTAGCAGCCAATCATCAGATGGCGAGTTCTAGTCTCACCATAGCCATGAAAACCAGCTGGGTGACTTTGGGCCAATCACCAGGAGATGGTGAGTTCTAGTCCCGCCTTAGGTGTGAAAGATGGCTGGGTGACTTTGGGCCAATCACCAGGACACGGTTGCTTTTAGTCCCGCCTTAGACATGAAAGCCAGCTGGGTGACTGGGCCAATCACCAGGAGACAATGAGTTCTAGTCCCGCCTTAGACATGAAAGCCAGCTAGGTGACTTTGGGCCAATCACCAGGAGACAGTGAGTTCTAGTCCTGCCTTAGACATGAAAGCCAGCTGGGTGACTTTGGGCCAATCACCAGGAGACGGTGAGTTCTAGTCCCGCTTTAGCTATGAAAGCCAGCTGGATGACTTTGGGCCAATCACCAGG